ATTGTAAGTTAATATTACAACAGAATTCAGCAAAGATAAAATAAACCAGACAATTTTTTTCTCAATTTTTTATTGCGTTTAATAAGCAATTTTTACATTTTATATACATTTTTGGAAATAGATATTTTTTTCTGGTAATTACCCAAAGTTTAAAAAAGTACAAATCCCATACCTAACAGACAATTCCAAATCCTACCGCCTATTATCTAAGTACACTGAAAATCAGTAATAACTGATAACAATTTAACAAAAAATATAGAATTCACTATCTATTTATCATACATGTCAAAATAATTTTATCGTTAAATTGAATATTAAGGCAATCGGTTCTTTAACAAATTCCAAGCTTTATCTACTTGTGACCGTGTGAAGTCTTCTGGCCACAAGGTACAGAAAACTACGTTTGCAGCCTCGACATAATTTTTATTTGGTGGTTGAGCGTCAATTCGTTGCTTGGCTTGCTCTGGCGTTAAATTATTTCGTTCAGAAATTCTTTTTACTGCCTCCTCTGGAGGAACAATTGATGCCCAAATCTGATATTCAGAAAAAAAAAATTTTTTGATAAGGAAAAAGTGTAACAAAAACGAAAACGTGTTTTATCTACACGCGCGTTAGAAGTTAAACTTTTTCGACCGGCATATGTCATCGTGTAAAAGGCAGTTTTCATTAATAGCATCATGCATGAAAAATGCATCCCGAGAATATATGGTTCATGAGTGAGTGACATAGCTGAGTGATGAATGAACCCCCATGGACAAAATGCGATGTATTCTAGTACAAGATGATCTTTTTTTAAAACTTTTTGGGTGTTTCATTCCCACCAGCTACTAATGCTGGTGAGTGGGCAGTCCCTCCGGACTACCCCAAAAGGTAAGGCGAAAGACCCTCTTCAGTCTCCTTTCAAGAATCGTGAGAATGGGTGGATGGTGATTCGGGTGAGAAAGATGGAACGGACGAAATGAAGACAGAAGAGAATGAAAGATTATCTGTGGAATATTACTGCCTCAGCATTTGCCTAAGTGATCCAAGGAAACCACAGAAATCTTGGACCAAGGCAGACGGAGCCGGAATCGAACAGGCGTCCTCCCGAATGCTAAGCAATGGTCTAAACATCTTGGCCATGCCGCTCGGTAAGACCATTCTGCAATCTAAGATTTATCTCATAAAGATTACGACAATCACCTAGTAAAAGACAACATCTGTATAACAGATATATCCAAAACCGTTTCATCTTTCGGATCGTTTTCTCCTTGCGGTTTAAAAGAATATATGCGTGGAACAAACTATCACAACATCTTCCTCGTTTTGATCCATTTTACTTACTTACACCTTGAGAGTTTTGCTGCTAATGGTACGAACACGATATGAACATGATCGTATAAGTAAAAATGCAATGAAAAACGACACGATAAGAAGACAGGAGGAACACGACATGAGGGCGATACTAATAATGAAAACTGACCTTAATGCTACCGCTTCTGGTCAGGGTGCGAACTTGTCCCAATCCGCGCACGACAAATTAACGAATTCGTACTTAAATTATGTATACGAAATGAATTTACCTCGTGACACATGTACTCCCATCCAGCTTTTATTAAAATTGCTGCTTCTACAATTACGATATCAGTCGACGACGACTTTATTAATTCGTTTACTTCATCTGCAAGGGCTGGCCAGACCAACGAATTTAATTTATCTAATTTAGCCTTAGAAAGGAAATTAAAATAACAAATAAGTCATTTTTAATTAGTTTGGAACAATCACAATTCAGATACTTTTGATAATGGCCTTTAGCCATTAGGAACCCTATTTTGGTAATAAACAGTGAAATGTATTTTTCTTAGGTACAAATCATTTTGTTTACCATTTTGTGTATAAGTAATATATTTTTTATAGTTTCATCTTCTTATAAAAAGTAAATAATTTGATTTTTGTTGATCATTTACATTTTTTGCATTACTTTAAAAATTTATTACTCAATAAACAAAATTTTAAATAACTTAAATTACGTGATTTATTTTGATTGACTTACCGGATCACTAAACAC